TTGCCATAGCTTTCCATGTATCGTCTCATTCCCCCGACTCTCTTTGGATAATTGATTCTAAGGCATCAAAACATGACTAGTAAGTTCACCTACTTTCAGACCTATCATCTTCTCTCTGGAAGAGACAAGGTGAGACTAGCTGGAGGTTCATTCTCTACATTGGTCAAGGAACTGTTTCTCTTCCCTCTAGCCTTACCCTTTCTAATGTTTTACATGTTCCAAAATTCCCTATCAATTTGTTTTTTGTTAGTAGTATTACCAATTCATTAAATTGTTCAGTGATCTTTTCCTTTCTTATTGTGTGATTTAGGATTTGGCCTCGGGGAAGACGATTGCTAGAGAAAGTATGGTGGATGGACTCTACATGTTGAAGAATAAGGCTGGTCTTGCAATCATAGTCTAAGAGTTAGTCTAGTAAGAGTCAGGTCTAATTATGGCATAGTCGTTTCGGTCATTTATCTTTTGAGTCCTTAAAAATTGTGTTTCCAGAGTTGTTGTCAGTGTCAGAGTTTATATGTCAAACTTGTCAATTGAGTAAGTATTGTAGAACTTATTTTTCTTCGAGGAATAATAAATCTGAATTTCCTTTCCATATTGTTCATTCTGATGTTTGGGGCCATGCTACTTTACCATCTGAGACTGGCTACAAGTATTTTATTACCTTTATTGATGATTACTCTAGATACACATGGGTGTATCCCATGCGAACTAGGGATGAAATACCAAAAATTATCCAAGATTTCCAACAAATGATCTTCACCTAATTTCAAATTGAAATCCAAGTCTTCCAATCCGATAATGCCAAAGAATACTTTCATAATGATTTCATGGAATTCTTTGCTTCGTGTGGATCACTCCACCATAGGCTCATGTGCTTAAACACCCTAACAAAATGGTGTTACTGAAAGAAAGAACCCCAATCTTCTTGAAGTGGCTCGGGGATTACTGATTCATATGAATGTCCCAAAACATTTTTGGCTTGAGGATATCCTTTGTGCTGCATATCTCATTAATCGCATGCCCTCTTGATGGTTAAAGTGCAAAGCCCCACATCAACTCTTGTTTCCCAAGGCTCCCTTTTTTCTTTTCCTCCACGTGTGTTTGGTTGTTCTTGTTTTGCTTAAAACCTTTCATCTGTGGAAAATTGGATCCTCGTGCTATTCTTTGCATCTTCTTGGGGTACCCCACATCTTTGAAGGGGTACCGGTGCTTTGATCCCATCTCTCGGAAATATTATGTTTCTATGGATGTCTCTTTCTTTGAGAGCATTTCTTGTTTCTCCTTGGGGAGAGTGTAGGAACGAGGAAAAACAGGTTCAGCTCCCTCCTCTTCATGATCTTCGACCCTTCTGTGTTTTCTTCCCTCGTCACAAAGGCCAACAGAGTTCAAGAGGTGTGGAGCATCTAGAAACTATACCACCAATGCAATCAAATTCTCCGGGGGGTGGATCCTCCCCAACCAGGTACCTATTGATGTTTTTGACCCTATTGCTATTGATACCTCCATTGTTGATGACCTTGACCTTCTTATTGCTCATTGGAAGGGTGTTAGGTCTTGCACCACTAAGCATACCATTTCTCATTTCATTTCCTATGAGAACATTTCACCTTCCTTTCGAGCCTTTCTTTCTTTCTTTCTTAGACAATGCTCCTATTCCTAAGAATGTGGTAGAAGCTCTCTTAGTGCCTGAATGGACAAATGCAATAAATGAAGAAATTAATGCATTGCATAAAAATGGTACAAGGGAATTGGTGGATCTTCTTGAGGGGAAGGAACCAGTTGGATGTAAATGGGTTTTTACAGTAAAACATAGGGCTGATGGCACGGTGGAGCGGTATGAAGCTTGTTTAGTGGCAAAAGAGTTTACTCAAGTGTATGGAGTGGATTATGTAGAAACTTTTGCACCGGTTGCTAAGATGAACTCCAATAGGGTCATTTTCTCTTTAGCTACTAATCTTAATTGGGATCTTCATCAACTAGATATTAAGAATGCATTTCTAAATGGTGATCTTGAAGAAGTGTGCATGGTACAACCCCTTGGTTTCCAGGCTGAAGGTGATGAATAGAAAGTGTGTAAGTTGAAGAAGTCATTATATGGCCTGAAACAATCACCAAGAGCCTGGTTCAACAGGTTTCATGTAGTTGTACAACAAAGAGGCTACAAGCAGTGTCAATCTGATCATACATTGTTTGTGAAAAGAGGGGAACCTAGTCACATGGAGAAGCAAAAAGTAGAATGTGGTGGTTAGGTCTAGTGTTGAAGCTGAATATAGGGCAACGCCTCATGGAGTGGCTAAAAAATTTGTTGAGTGAGCTGTGATTTATAGTTGATGGACCTATGACTTTATATGGTTATAACAAGGTAGCCATAAATATTGCTGCTAACCCAGTGATGCATGATAGAACCAAGCACATTGAGGTAGACAAGCATTTTATTAAAGAAAAATTTGTCAAAGGGGGAGTTGGGCATGATTGACATTTATGCCCCAACTTGAGGGGGAGTGATAAAAGATTGTTTTTTATATTTAGTTTAGTACCATAGGGGTACTATTGTATTTTTCTTTCTTGTTATGATTAAGATCGCCCTAATATAAATACTAAAGCTGGCGTCGCCATATAAGATTTTTTTGTTCTCAAATCTCTCCTCTCTTCTCTTCTCCTTCTCTTCTGGACAATATGATTAGTGAAGCTCATGATTAGAACTCACAACCAATTCTGTTGGTTGTTTAAAGCAGAGCACTCTTTGTACAAATTCCTACAAAGAGAGGTGCATGAAGAAACTAAAGCGGATTTCTAGAAGTCATCTTTTACACATTGGCCGAGAATCATCTAGACAACCTCAACCTCAATAGCTAGTTAAATGCTTAAGATTAACATGGAAGCACAAAAGCTTTGATAAGAGAGAATATGGTAGCGACACAATCTCAAAATCCCTAAAATTGCGTTATAAGGGGTAGCTAGGAAGACCAGAAGAGATTACATCAAGATTTGAACATTAGCGATACGAACGAGATGGATCATACCTTTCAAGGACACGGATTGATATTGGGATCCCCTAGTTCAGACAATCTGGGAAAGAATCCATTAGCAAAGAGAGTTGATTTTGAGTCATCGGGTGCGGAATTTTTGTTGGTTCTAAACAATCCGTTACATGTGGCCATTTTCTAACTCTTTTATCAACGACAACATCGAGACTCGTCATTGAGGGATTTGAGTTCGACTTGCTGTGCCAGAAGGTGCTGGTTGAATCTTGGAGCCATTGTAATGGTTATTGCCTTGCGATTGCAATATTGGAATGAGGGCATGAAGAGAGGGCATCAATAAGAAAGAGGGAGGGTTTTGGAGCTTCGAGATGGTGGCGATGAGATTATATCTTGTGGTTTTACAACAAGGTAGGTTGCTTGTAATCAAGAGGACTTCGATGACACCGTTTAGTTCTTGGGAGTCGGAGGACCCAATCGAGAGACTAGAACAAGGTCCCCGTAAATCTCCACCAAAATTTGCCTTCAATCATCTTTAACTCTCACTCGATGAATGGATCATGATGAAGCTGACACTTAACAACACAGACCCTTGAAGTGCTATATTCCCTAGAGATTGGAGATATAACTAGAGATTTTCATATAAGTGCCATGGACTCCTTGTTCGTAACGGTCTCGTTTCCGAAGGTTTGAGAGAATGGCGGGAAAGAGAGGAGAAGAGGGAGAGAGATGGTTGTAAGGAAACCCTAGGGTTGGGGCTGCAGAGTGGTGCCTTGCGTGAGTGTCTAGGAGGGATATCTCTCTTGGAAGGCTTTGAACCTCTTCTACTTATATAGAAAAGGCTACCATTTGAGAGGAAAGTTGGGTAGAGACCAAGGAAACTTTCCCATTGGAAAAGTGGTTATAATTTGTTAGGTACCAAACAAGTGAGAGACTCGGGGTTTCGCCACGTGTCCATGAAAATCCCACGGGATTGGAAATTCCCGTCTTTAGAGTTTCCTATCTTTAGGTACCAAACAAGTGAGGGACTAGAAGCTTGCTTATTATTGTACAATGTGATCCCTCCTGCAGGAGCGTTCTTTGCACACCGCAGACTACATCATAGACTTCATGTTTTTGTGCTCTGAGTTTCGAGAGATATGTAGATTTGCGATTCTGGTTCTCGGACATGCGATTGCACCTACCGGCAGTGGACATCCTCCATCATGGGTTCTGCAATATTTAACTCCATGTACTTACACCTAGCATTCCAAGAAATGGGGCGAAGACCCAATATTTTTATGATTATTACAATGCCACCCAAAACAAATGCTCCCTATTAACCCCCCTTTGTTTGGCCAAGGTACCTGCCAAACCATTCTCTTTTCTTCTAGCCCATTTGAACCTGATCCCTATCTCCCTTTTAAATCATCTCACCTTCCTCATAACTCGTCTCCTGAATCTGTTGTTAATCTATTTTTTGATGGCTTCTTGCTTGACAATTCATGTTTTATAAGCGGTTAGGTTATTTGCCACTCCTTGGAGTTTAATTGTAATAAGGACCAAATATTTCAGGCTTTTGGCCTTTGCTCTATTGTAAAAGTGAATTCTTCCAATTATTATGTGGTCTAGTCTTGGAAAGAAAAGGACATTTCATGGTTTCTTTGGCAAAATTTGGTTTACTTTGTTTGAGAAATTTCAGATTTGGATGTTATGATCTCCTCACATTCTGAAGTCTGCCAATGATAGTTGTGGATGCTTTACTTTAGTAGGTTTTGAGAGGACCCACTAAGGAGTAATTTGTTTCTTGTTAAGGTCTTTTCATTTAAGATTTACCTTTTATTTTCTGTTCTCTCGATTCTCATTCTTTTTTGTCATTTTATTTTTCACTTTTAGAACTAAATCTTTGTAACCAACAGAAGAAAAGTCAATTGGTTTTCTTAACGTCATGGAGTTCCATTTTGCTCTCTGCTATTATCATCACTGCTGCCTTTGTTTATTTGTTATAAAGAATTCAAGGTTGTTAATTACATTTTGTAGCTCGCTGTGGAGTATGAGAGCAATGCATTGTTTATTAAGGTTGACACAGACGATGAGTATGAGTTTGCCCGTGATATGCAGGTAATAGATTCTCAACTTCTTTGCCAGAATTTCCTCTGAAAGATTGTATGAATCTTGAAAGTTAAAATCTTCTAATTTATACTACAGGTCCGTGGCTTGCCAACCCTATATTTCATTAGTCCTGATCCAAATAAGGAAGCAATTCGGACTGAAGGGCTCATCCCAACGCAGATGATTAGGGATATCATTGATAATGAAATGTGAGCAATGGTGGGGCAAGAATATTGTGTTCAAATCTGATCACAATTTGGTGAGACAATGCATGGTCCTTTTGTCATGAGGATCAATTTGACAGCAGTGCCAGGACTCAACATTAACAGATGGAAAGGGTGATTGCACATTGATAAATTGCGTCCGAGGCCTATCTTGCTTGCAGCTTGCTAACTATTGAATAGTGATGGTAAAAGCCTTGTTGTCTAAAAGGATTAACTGCTGATTTTGCTGAGATGAACTTTCAAGAGGTTGAGTTTCTAAATGGGATCAGTTTGAGTTTTGTGCAATAGGAAAAACTAGGAAGATGACCTTATTTCCATTAATATAGATTTGAGGATGATGAGTGGCTCCTCCGTGTTAGTAATGTCCATTGTGTCCATGTTCATGCCAGCGGCCAGGCCTATGCTACATGGTGCATTGAACTTCTTACTAACATTTCTACTTGAATATCCATGATGCAACTGTAACCGTTGAATTGGGCCAAAGTGAAGAAACGATTTCTTTCCAACATATGCTCAATGGGCCTTGCCCGATTTCAAAATAGACAATAAGAGAAAAATTGCTCCGGGCATTCTACCTCTCCAAAATAGACAATAGCTCAATAAGAGAAAAATTGCTCTTTCGTTTCCCAGAAAAGGCATGACATGAGTGATGGTTAATGGTGGGCCCCTCTGCTCTGGGATCTGCTCCTCACACTGACCTCACACCCACATCCCACGGTGTAATTGGGAGCGTCTTCTCATGAATAATAAATATAAGTACAGAAGATGTTTTGGTCTTCATAAAATTTGTCCTCACAATTCTTGCAGTTGTACATTGGTAACATTTTCGTATGAATAAAATCATACATGTATAGAGGAATTGAGATTTACTCAGAGGGCACCTCAAACCACCTCACAGCCCCATCTTACAATGTATTGGGAACATCTCCTCATAAATAACAATACAAAGTATAAGAGATGTTCCTATGTGCGGCGGGACACATTGTGAAGTTGGTGTGAGGAGCAGATCCGGACTCTATGGAGATGTTTCAAATGCATGGCTACACGTGTTGTAATGACAGTGTGACCATGTGAATAAATTTTGTGAGGACTCAATCTGAATTCGTGAGTGCAATTCACACCAATCACATACTTGTTATTGGTAGGTAAATGTGCAAAGTAGTCATTCATGGGGAGATGTTTTCATTGCATGGCTGCAACGTGTTGTGAGTGAATTCAAAATCAACTTAGTGTTTGAGAACATTTAAAAGAAGTACGTTTTTTAACAAGTACTTTTAAGAGTTGGGACCAAACATTAAGTGGTTATTAAATGGTTTTGTGTGTTTGGTAAAAAAGTGGGGAAGAAGTTCTTTTTCTTAAAGTACTTCTTTAAAAAAGTGATTTTAGGTTGGTTTTTTTTTAAGTACTTCTTGAAGAAGTACTCCAAAAAAATGGGACAAACCAGTCCTTAATAATTTTTTGTAATACCTAAAATACCCCACGAGGGTTAAACCTCTTCCTCCATTCATTCGAACATCAAACCCAAGTAGCATTGCACCAGTTGTATTTTTTGAAGTGGCCGACGGACCTGTCGTTTAGTCACTTTCTTCTATTTTCTCAAGTTTTTTTTTCTCATTTAATCATTTTTCTTTGGTTTTTTTCTAACTTGAACTCCCCGTTCTTTGCAGATCTACACTAACTCTATGTTTTTTCGCAGATCTACACTTGAACTAACCGGTGGCAAGAGGTTAGTTTTTTCTGGGTTTTCGCAGATCTACACTTGACCAGTCCCTAGTAATTTCGTAGATCTCACCGTTCCTGTTTTTTCTTCCTCAGTCCTCAGCCTTGCCATAGAGACATCCTCAGTCCTCAGCCTTGCCACAGAGGTCGAACATCCCCACCCCAATTAGACGTTACCACCTGGGCAAAAGATTTGAGGTTGGCCGTTGAAGTTTGAAATCATGAATCCGATTTGTTGATAAAAAAGGAATTTTGCTGTGCTGCTTTATCTTTTCCTTCCCTAGTTTCAGAGTTTCCTCAACGGTGAAACTTCTTGCTCTCCGTATTTCTCTCTATCGGTTTCTTGCCACATCATTGTCGTCTTCCCCAGGACGTCCTTCCTCCCACCACTGAGCTTCCATGGAGGTTGCAATCCAGGCTTTGTATTCTACCCCACTAGTGTATACTTCTAACACTCGAGGGATTAGCTCTTGTTTTGCTCCTACCACATGAACTACAGCTGCTCTCAGGTTATTGACATTGAAGGCCTCCAGTTCTCCTCCGCAAAGTTTTGCAACTCTTGTAAATATTTCCAATGTCCAAAGGTGAAAAGGCATCCACAGAATTCTCAGCTCAATACCAGTGCTTGGCTCGACGAGTTTTTCATTAGTGCAGGGAGACCGTCTCTCCACTATTACCAGGCCTTGTTGAGTTACGGCCGAGATAGGTAGGCCCACCTGCATACTTCGGGTAAAATTAACACCGCTTGACTCCCTTCAAAAGGTTGAGCTTCCACTTTTCCTGAAATCCTCAGAACCTGCTTAACTTCTTCTAGGCTAGTCCAATCACCAACAGTTTCCTTTGCCGTGATGACCAGCTTCTTTCCCCACTCTTCTTTAGATACATTCACCCACGTTTTGAGCTTGCTCAAGTGTGCTGCTAAGTATAGATCTTCATCTTCCTCTCCTTATGTTGTTTCTTCCCTTGATTCACCCAACTCCATCAGTAAATTGTCCTGCCTTTTATCGTGCATTGGGTGCTTTTTCCTCACCTTTTCTGTTTTCCAAAGCCGTTTTTGGAGAATTACTGAATGGCTTGTACGACCTTGTCCCAACCCGACGCCTTTCTTCCTTCAGGGAAACAGGTAAACTGTTTCAGACCCTCGCCATAATTCTCAGAAATTCCAATATACCTGCCCTTCTTGTTTTCTCTTGTCTCTAAAACATACTTTCTTCCTACTTCAGTGTAATAATTCTTCCCTCCTCTTTCTGGTGTCGCGTTTTTTGCCCCTTCTAGCACTCCTTTGAACAACGAAACTGCTCGTCCAGAAAGAATAAGGGAGGCTCGTCTCAGCTCCACTATCTTCAGAGCCAATGCTCCCCGAGTCCAAACTTCCTCCATCACGAAGGTCTTTGTTTCAATCTTCAGAGTTTTCCTCCATCTTCTCGTTGGTAAGAACTCCCAAACTTGGCTTTCTCTGTTCATAGTTTAATATGGTACATTTCATAGTAGTGGACTGGGTTTGGGGACAAAGGGTCGGAGGCTGCTACCTTGGGCTAAAATTGTCATTTGTGTCAATATAAGCACTTATGGAAAAAGTAGCTTACCAAACATCCCACCCCAATAAGTGTTTAAAAACATAATAAGTGAAGTGAAAAGTAGGATACCAAACAACCTTAAGTGGTTGTTAAAATAAGTACTTCTAAGGCATATTAAATAAGTAATAAAAGCAAAGAGTATAGTTGTCAATAGAGATGCTTAAGCCACAACTCACAAGGTGTCCACGAAGGGTTGCATCACTTAACTGCTAAGGTATATTAAACACGGTACCATTATATATTTTTATATTATATTTTTTTTGAGACTATAATAACAAAGTAGATTTTATTAAACTAAATTATTCAATTTATGAATTAAAGTATTAGTTTATTTTCATTATTTTTCTTATTTGCTAAGGCTCAATTAACATGTATGCTGTGCCATGGATACTTTAAAACCTGGAATTTGGAATTGCTTCTCGCGTAGCGATGTGTAAAGCGGCTATTAATCAATTACGAGTTAACATGTTAGCATGGTTCAAAGTATTGATATAGGTTGATATGCCGGTAGGGCATATCATCCTGTATCGGTACTTTTTCAAGTTTTATTTAATTTTTTTCGAAACCTTCATAGGGGTTGGTTTAAGGCCCGACTACCCTCTAAACTAGTGTTTGACCTGATACAACCCCTGGAGGGGCATATTGGTAAGCCGTCGGCATGATACGTATACATATCGCTACTTTGAATCTTGCATGTTAGTATTCTGTACATGTCAGTGTGAGTCCTATGTTTATGGAATGGCTGATTAGTTACATAGCTGCTTACACATAGTGGTGCAAGCAACAGATTTGGAGTGCAAAGCTTGAACTAATATGCAAGGAAGAATTCAAAATTTTGCTCAGCCAATACATTGATTTTTACTTGTTTTTTTTTTTTTTTAATTTTAATAATTTGTTTTCTTCTTCTTCTAGGACAAAAATATGGGCTTAATCCCTCTATTCTCTGAAATTCTTTTTTTTTTTCCTTCTATTTCTTTTACGAATAGGGAAATTGTCTAAAACTCACCATGAGCTTTCAGCATTTCTCTTAAACTCACCACAACTTTTCAAAATGTCTAAAATTCACCATGTTACTAACTTGATGTTAAACAAACTAACGGGTGCTAATATATTACCATTTTAACCTTCATAGAAAAATATAAAATATATAAAATAAATTAGCGGGTGTTAATATATTACTATTTTAATATTTAGACATGAAAAAAGGAAAAGTTCAAAAACATATTTTCAAATATAAAATACATAAAAACATAGAAATTACAAAAAATATAGAAATTGCAAACAAAATAAAAAATTATTTTCAAATTATAGAAACTATGTAAATTGAAAACAAAATCAAAAAATAAAAATTGTAGAAAAACACCAAAAATTTATAGATTGTAGAAAATAGAAAAATGTAAAAAAACAGAAATTATAAAAAACATTAAAAATGCAAAAAAACATGAAAATTGAAAACTGAAAAAGACAAATTTTCCTCTAACTCACCATTCAAGGGTAATTTGGTCATGAAAATTGTTATTTATGCTGACATGGACACCTTTGTTAAGAAGCATTAACGGTGCTCGAACGGAAGGTGAGTTTTGGAAAATAAAATCTTACTGACATGGTGAGTTTTAGACATTTTGAAAAGTTCTGGTGAGTTTAAGATAAATATTGAAAACTTATGGTGAGTTTTAGACAATTTCCCTTATGAATATGTTGGTTAATGGTTAGTTCAGATCAAATCTAAGTCGAGTTGATGCATTAGGATCCAAATCTGACAAAATTCCTTTGGTTGTGGAAGGGTTATTAGCCCGTCTAGATCAAATCTGGCTTATGTCAATCCCCTAGGATCCAAATGTTAGAAAAATTTAAATGAATCCAAAAATTACATCAATAATATTAAATCTATGTCAATGACTATAAATAATGTAACAGACAAAATACATATTTTAAGAATATATGTCATGTACGAACTGGAACATACTTGGGAACACTGAAAAATGGTAGATAAACTAAAATATGTAATTATCAGATTGGCCAAGTTTTGTATTAATTATTAAATTAATACAAATTAATTGTAAAATGGATAGAGAGGAAATAAACAGGAGAGCGAAAGAATTAAAGTCCAAATTGCAAATTAATAAATTAGACAAAGTGATATCACAACTAATCAACCTCTCTTTTGATCCACAGTTGTTTTAGAAAACATTATGTGGATTCCTAGCAAAGT